AATTACCTGAAGTTGGTGAAGGATAGAAAACCAAGGTCATTTAATAATGCTGCTAAAAATAATGAACAAATTGGTAAAAGACCTCGAGATAATGTGGTATCAACGAATCCAATCCAAACTATATCCATGATATGAAAGTCAAAAACCAGAACATGCCAATCATTCTCACTCACATCAGCCTTGGAAAAAGAAAATGAATAATGATGAGTTCAAAGTAGGGTATGTGAAACTTGGGGAAAAGTTAATAGTTCAAAATAAATACTGTTAGGTTTGCTTGTGTTATGTGTATTGTTGTAAAGGACACTTGTCTCATTCATGTTCATCTCAGAAAAATCACAGCTATAATTAATGCTGGGATTGTGAGTATGTGGAATTATATTGTGTAGAATTTGGAAGTAAGAACTATAAAAGGTTGAAACATAACAATGAAGATAAGATGGAATAAAAATACTAATAGTAATATGATGACAGAAAAGTTGGTAAAAATAAACAGACAATTAGCAAAGACACTAATTAGTACTGGTTTAAGTATTAATCTGATAAGTATGGAATATGTGAAAAAGAGAAGGCTTACCTGAGAACATTTGAAAAAAGAATTAACCATTGGTCTTGTAGATGTTGAAGTCATTGAATATATTTCTGGCATTGATGTTGTTGTATATGGTGTTGGTGTAAATCAACCATTTTATATTATACAAGAGTTGGCTTCTGATATTGTTCTTGAAATATCATGGGTAATAAAGTTCAATATCAGGTCATAGGAGAAAATAAAAGGTATCACTATATAATTTGGTCTGGCCTCAAAAAAGCAATGTTTATGATTTCAGAAGAATTAAAGAAAAATGAAATAATGATAAGTAAAGTAAATGCAATGAATTATAAAGACCTGAAAAGTTATGGCCACAAAATTTATCATGTCAATAAAACTGTTAAAAAAGGTAAAAGGGATGTTAGATCTATAAAATTTGATTAAAGAGATAAAACAAAAGTCAAAAATGCACCTGAAAAATCTAATAAAAGAAAGGCATTCGAATGTTGTCAGGAATTGGCTGGTCACTATAACCGAAATGAAAATAGAATTAAAGATGAAAAGGTTGAACATCAGTCATTCATTTATTATCAATCTGTTGATATAGGAAATAAGGGTGTAGGCTATGTTAATACACCTCTGTGTAGTTATACAAATGGAATTGAAATTGACAAAGCAGAAAAAGCTATAGATAGTAGATATAATATGACTTATGATATAATTAGTAATAATGAAGACTCAAAATATGAAATTAATAAAGAGCATAACAGTTGTTGGTTGGATAAGTTAGAATCTGGTATCAATCAAGTGCTAGCTACAAAGAATAGTATTGATCATGGAAGTGGTCTTGTAAAGAATAAATGTAAGGTTTTTTTTAGTCATCAAATGCCCAAAGTGATAAATTACAGAACACATGACATTTTGGTTGCCTATAGCATTGTAGGTTTTCCTTTTGTATCAAGTTTTTTGAGTATTTTGATAGTGAACTTTATTGGATATGTTTAGACTTAGAACTAAAATAAAAAAAGATTGAATATCTTTTAGATTGTAAGTGGTCATGCATGACAGTTGTACGCAGAGTTAAGGGGTATATGGCAAGAGTTCTACCCTTCATTATGAATGTAGATGTGTTTTTGAGTTTTTTTTTTGTTGAGTTTTTGTTGTTTTTTGTTAAATTTTTATTATATCATTTTTGTTATTTTCCTGTTATTTTTTTTAGTCATGTGATTTTATTTTTCATTTTTAGTATTAGTATCTAGACTTTTTGTTAGTAATAGATAAAAAAAAAAAATTATAACTGCACCTTAGAAAGAAGTATATATGATCAGGTGACCTTCAAGACTGACACATTGGATTTTTTACGGGACATGAAAAATTAAGAAGAATTGTTACGAGCAAAACCATGTGCTTACAGAATTTAAGAAGCATGCGGAATGATGCATGTGGAATGTATGAATTATTATACAAGGAGCTATTACACTATAATGTCTCAGAACTTAAGATTTACAAGCAATGATCATATAAAAGCAAACCTGTTTGAACCAGATCTTCTGAATGGAAGCATCAAATGATGATTCTATGAAAGCCAAGCTCTATCAACGATTTCATTGAAGAAAGTGATATTTACCTAATTCGGTTGATAGCTGTCATGATAATATTACCTTGTTGAGTAAGATGTGTAGCTATGAAAGTAAGAAGCACATGAATCGATAGAAGAGTCAATGAGAAAATCAATAAACTTGATAGATAAAGAATAAAGACAACATAGAAGTCTTTATTTGGCTTGCCTTCTTCATGCCTTCTTTTTCTATTCCGTTGGAACTTCAATGAGAATAACTGTGAGTAAGGGTTGGGAATTGACTAAAAATAGATTAAATAGCTTTAGTTCAATGATGGTTTGATGGGAAAAATATTTGATCTTGATCTTTTTCTTGCCTGTAATTTTTATTATAAATAAGAGGCCAAAACCCTCTTGTCCAAGTAGTGTTTGAACCAATTTATATACAATTTTGCTCTATATTCATTAAATAAAAGCTCTTTGATAAACCCAAACTATACATTCATTAAAAACTGTATCAAATTACTCACTTAATGATACTCAGTAGACGCCTTTACTTGTCCCAAATCAAAATCTGCCTCATCTGTCTACTGAGTAGTGTTGTTCGACCTACCTCTCTTTTAACTATATAAATATCACTTTTTTTCTCTCTTGTTGAAGGTGAAAATTTGGTCAATTTGCCTCTGATAATAGCATAACACTTTTCACAAACAAATATAGTTCTTTTTATAGTTTTTGTATTAACTACTGAATAACCATATCTTTGAATAATTGTATGTTCATCTTTGGATGACTCATCTAAGAAAATTAACTGTTTATGCTGATATTGAGTACTGATGCGAATTTTATAGGCACTATGAAGCAGTTTATTATGTTCTTTAGCAATTTTATGTAACTAAAAATAAAAATAAATAAATAAATATAAAAAATTATTATATCAAAACAAAATAAACAAAAATAATACTTTTTTTTGTATTATCTCACAGTAAGTTAATGATCTCCAAAGAGTTGAAATTGAAACATGCTTTCTACTTCGAACTTCCATTTCTTGAACAATCTCATCAAGGTACAAGCCAGAATTCTTTTGAATAATACTTTGTAATATCTATTTATAAAAATTAAATATTGGTAAATATAAAAAAAAATATTCACATATAAATATAATAATAATATTTATATACACCCTCATATTATTATAATTAAATATTTTGTGCTATCCAGGTATTTGCCTCCAAGGATTAACTACCGTTCTCCACTTTATATACAAATGACATACTTTTTTTATTAAACTTTCACTAACATAAAAAAGTTCACCAACTTGCTTTTTAGAGTAACCATCATATATAAGATATAGTATACGCTATTTCAAGTCCTCGCTATATGCTCAAGGCATTTTAAAGATTAACTTTTAATAAAAATACTTAAAGTTTAAAATTAAGCTATTAAAAATTTATATTAAATCTTATCTAACATTTCCAGTAGAATAGCAGAAGAAGTAATCTCTGTAAAATCTTTAAAATCTCAGTTGTTACAAAGTTTGCTAGAGCGAATTTGAAAAAAAAGAAGAAAATTAAGGAAATCAAATGAATTTCCTGTGATATGATGATCTGCATGTTGGTACACCTTTTTGAAAATAGCTGTAAAAGTTTCTAAATGAAGTCACATGCTTTTAGAAACACGTGTTTAAAGGGTTCTGGTAGAATTAGCTGACAACCATTTTATCAACAACCACTTCGCCAACAATCTCTAGCCAACATTAACTATAAAGCAGGCCAACCTTAACTAAATCGGATCAAAATTTGTTGGCAAAATGGCTGTCAGCGAAATGGTTGTGGGCGAAATTGGTTTATACCATTTAAAGGGTTTGGGTTTCAAACAGGCCCGAGCTGAGCAATTATTTTTATTTTGGATCTTATCTGTAGATTCCCCTTTTATGTATATATGATTTAGCATAATAAATTCTAACCGTTCATAATAAAAAAAATAAATTCGCGATAGTGATTAATTATAGAAATAAATATCATATTTGAGTTTAGTGCAGTAATAAATCAAATTTTTATATGGATATTTAA